CCTGCCCGGGCTTCGACCCCCCCGGCAGGGACTTGCGAGCCGCCTCCTGGCCGTCGGCGCCCGCGGGGGGCTGCCCCGCCACCGCCGCCGCCTCCGCGCCCGCCCCTTCCCCAGCCGCGGGCGGGGGCGGCTCTTGGGAGGCGCCGGCCTCGGCGTCGCCCTCGGGCTTCGAAACGTCTTCTTCTGAAAACACGTCTTTCATGTCTTCTGGCTGCGCCGCGATGCTTTGGTACTGGTACATTATGGGGTGCACTTGAGGGCTTCCTTGGAAAAGACATTCTTGTGATCCCATATGGAAGTGGGATACAATGATTTTCCCGAAGCAGGAGGCACGTATGAACACCCCGATTGACCCTGCTATTCTTGTGCCAGTGAGATTGGTCAGCAAGTAACACTCTTTATGAGATCTACTAATAGGGAGACAATACGGATGTGCTCTAGACTCCTTGATTAGAGTTTGATAAACTGTTGTTAAATCTATAGTTGTTTTGGCAATAGGCATTTTGTTAGGTATAATGCCTGGGCATAGTTCTCGAATGACGAGGATGTTAACTTCAAGAATGTCTTGAGGTATGCTGGGAAAATCGGGGACGGAAAATAAACATGATTTCCCATTCTTAAAGTCGCACGGTCTTTTAAATCGACCTACCGGGAGGGCATCTTCATTGAATTCCAGTGGTGGCAAGTTAAGAAACGAAAACTGAACGATTGTCCTCCCTGATTTTAATTCGGGTTGACTGTTTATAATATGGTGGTCAATTTCAAGAGTTTCGACAAGGAATTCTAAAAGAAGAATTTTCTCCTTTTTGTCCTGTTTGCATTCATCTTTTAAATTGCATATATCTTCCTCTTCTTCTTCTGGTTGTTTTTCATCACATTTATATGGCCTATTCGCCATTATTTAACGTTTTAGTTACTTTCTCCTATGAAAATCTCAAGAACATACCTTTCGGAACTGTCGATGTAAACAATACGCCCAAATTACATTTAAAGCACTTGATAATTTTTCTTCCTTTGCGCCACTATATCTTCAATGCTATCTCAGTATCATTCTCGAAGAATTTAATTTAAATGTCAAAGAGGTAATACCTTTGAAGGAAGTGGTCTTGTAAAAAAAAAGATTGCAGTTGCAGCGAAATACAACGTTTACATGTCTACATGAAAATATAAATGTTTACATAAGCCTCAAAACAGTTATGCAAATGGAAAACATTAAAAAATTAAATTGAATGTTAATTATCATGTTTACCTGCCATAATTCTCCATGGAGACATATTACCAGTTGCAAATCGTCCAATTTATGATTTTGATGCCATTTTACTTTCTTTGTATTTAATGTTAGTTAAGAATTTCTGTGATATTTTTAGCTGTGAAGTTGACGCCATGCAACTTTGCCCAGAACAAATGAATACTGTTGAGGATTTGTATTCCATTTTTAATTGTTTTGAAGTGATATTTGCATTAAAATAGGACTTTAAGAATTTAAGGTACCTAGTTCAAACATTTCAAAGTTGAATACTGATAGTTTTAAAATATTTTTTCTCTTTGTTTTAACTGAGCCTTTCACGTTTTTTATTTCATTTTTATAAGTGCGATTCTTATGGCTTTATTGAATTTAAATGTGTACATAGACACTAAACATTACAAGGATAAAATTTTCATCCTTTATAAAGTACAAATACATATAAACATTTTCAAATATTGTAAAATGTAGGTAGGAATTTGAGTTATTGGGAGATTTGATACGTTACCGAATTTTTTAATAAAATTGTGTTTGTGATACATGGGCCTGTGAAAACCTTTGGCTTTTTGTAAAATAAAGTTATAAAAGCGAAAATAACTTTTCACTGAGAGGCAAACTAAAATAGATTGGTCATGAACTGCAACTTAAATCATAAAATTATTAATTATAAATATACTCATTTAATAGCGTCTTACATCATAAATGTATTCATAATAAGGATGCTATACAATAAGCATTAGAGTTTTTTGTATAAATGGCCTGGGGGCCTGGGATATTATTGGCCTCTTCCTGTTGGTAAAAATGATATTTTACCTATTGACAATCATCAACATGTCAGTTTATGTCTCTGTAAGTAGTATTAAGTCGTTAATACTAATAGCAGAGTAATAGGTTTCGAATTAACGTTAATGATACAGGCAAGTCAATACAAAACGTTATACGTATGCTGTTGACTTCAGATTTTAGCGGTAATATATAACGGTTAGTAATATATTATTATATATTATATATTTTGTACATGTTCTAAAAATCAACTAAGACCAACGCAATATTTCCTCATGGTCAACATCAATGGATCTGCCGGGGCTGCTGTTTTGAACCATTATCAATCTCAGTGTCTAGTCATCAGCTCCAAAGACTCAAAAAAGGTCAAATTATCCTCCCCTGACATTTGCATCAATTTGACTTCTCTCACCTGTTGTAACGACGTGAGAAGTTTGGGCGTGCGTATGGATAATACTCTAAATTTATATTCTGCATCTCAACATCATTTTTAGCAAACCATTTACTGTTACTGCTATCCTTGCTAGGAACAGTTTTCCCTGCACCAAAATGTATAGAAGAATATTTCAAAAGTTTAAAAACGAGATCAGTTTATGGATTTATCAGATTGTTGCTTAATGACCTTTTCAGAATTCTTTCTCCGCAAACATTTGCATTGCAGAAGCATATAAACACTCCAGAATCATGTAAATTGTTTATTAATTACAAATGAAAATAATATATTTTTTTAGATAGAAAAAATTAACCCAGAAATAAAAAAGCAGTCTAATTGTCTAAATTTATTTAACATTTATTTATGATTAAAATAGTAAAAAGAACTGTGTGACATGCTGTGGGGAGAAGTTAATTTCAAGTTACATTTATGTCCAGAAGATAAACAAGGGGTAATCTTAGCATTTTCTCATGGATGGGTTGTTTTTTTACTTTCGCGTATACATACGTATATACGGAGTAGTATTTTTAGTATAGAGAAAGTTACGAAATACTTCGGAAAATCGATTTTGAGATTTCAATTCACGTTTTGGGGTTCCATGATACCGAAAAAGTGTCTTTTTTAGAAACGTCCGTTACTCTGTGAACACTATTAGCGCCTAGCCCATACGTAGAATTTTTAACAAAATGTGTATTCCCCGGTCGTGCTTGACCCCAAGCTTTGTCATTTTGAAAAAAAATAATCAATTTTTGGCGTACTTTACATCATTCTCCATTGACATTTTCAAAATTTTCTCACAATTGGCTCCAATTTTTTTCTTTAATTTTCTTCTAATAATATAGTAAAATACACTTATAAAGGTGGCATATGTCAAACTTTCGCGGTTAACTCTGAACTTTTGAAAATTTTGAAATTTTGAAATTTTTTGGGCGTATTCCCACAACTACAAAATTGAAGATAGACTTTTCCTTGAAATGATATTTGTTTTCCTTAGTGAGTTCTGTGATTAAGGTCACGCACATTTTTTAAATTAAAATCGTTTTCGCGTAATACTGCGTGCAATTTGTTTTAAAAAATAGCAAACACAAATTTTTTTCAAATACGGCTCCAAATTTTGTCTTTGATCTTTTGCTAGGGATAATGCAAAATTACTCTTTGAGATGACACAAACATCAGTTTGGCCTATTCTTTTGTGTTTTCAAAAATGTAGTATTTTTACTTATCTCTCACGTCGTTAATATTTACATTAGCGGCGATTTGTTAAATGAATATATTTATGTGTTTTAAATAATGCCATATAAATTTTCTCGAAAACTCTACCAATTTCTGTGAAAACAAGCTCAAAATTCCGCATTTTCAGAAACGCTCAAACGCCATTTTCTCAAAAGAAGCTCAAATTTTCGAAGAGATAATGCTAATTGTTCTCTTTAATATGACGTAAAGTTCATTTTGGTTTATTCTTTGTTTTTCAAAAATTATACAAATGCATTTTTTTAAGTATATTTTACGCCACCATTGACATTTCCAGCGATTTATATACATTACTGCATTTGGGGGTAGAAGTGCTGCAAATTATTTTAATTAAGTTATTCGTATTCAAAGGTTTTTTTTAGGTAAGTGATTATGATTTGAATTTCACATTTACAGAAACGCTAAAACGCCATTTTCTTAAAATCGTCTCCATATTTGTTAATGAAAATTGCCATTTAGAACGAAGTTTTACTCTTCTTTAATATTCTTAAAGTAATATTTCAGATCTGTAATTAGAAAAACGTAAAATTGAAAAAAAAATGTACTTTGAGTGACGATAGATGGCATCTGGCTAGAGTATGTGACCCAAAACAATAGAAAACTAATCCTTCGTTCAGATAAAAATTTCGGCCGAGTAAAGTTTCAACTGCCACTTAGACGCTCGAGGGCGAGCGCGGACTGAGCCTAAAGACCTGCGCTAAGGCAGGCGCGAGTCGCGTGGCGAAAGGCTGGTTGCGCGGCCGCCGCAAGCCAGTGCCTCCGCCCCACGTTGACGGGCGCTGCGACCATTGCCGCCGCCGCCGCCGCCGCCGTCGGGGCAGGTCAGGCCAGGCCAGCGGCTGCCCGTCTCGACAAAGATCAACTGACTGGTGGACTGGACATTGACCCCACAACATGCTATGTTCATAGTGGTAGGTTCTTCTTTTTTATGCTGGACGATCCGTGCATTAGCCGTGTAATTTAAAATGTTCATTTAATATTATAAGCGTATTTGAACCAAATGAAAAAAATATTTCTCTTCTTAATGCATGCATGCAAGATCACATCCTCCCCACGATGTATTAGAAAGGCAGGCGAAATCAAATTGTAATCCCTCATTCCCTCTAGGAAAGGAGGGGAATTTACTATATGCAAAGAGGGAGAGAGAGAGAGGCAGAGAGACAGACGTGTATTCCTCACTGCCCTGTGCGTGATTCGTATTCATTTCCTTGCATTTCTCATTATCCTTGCATTTCACGAAACGAAGATGCAAGAAGCGTAAAAACGCAGTCAAGGTGACCGCAAAAGAAGATGCATCGTACGCAGCCATCTAATGATGAACGTATGAAACGTAGGAAAAGCTCAGTAAACCCGCATGAATGTGGAGATGACGTTCGGATGATCATTACGGAAAACTAAGAAAGGTGAACTCATCATCAAACGAGGGAAAAGCTGAAACTTTCAGCCAAACACGCATTGAAGTGTTGAAGGACAAAGCAGAAGTAAAAACACTCACGAAGATGAAAAAGAGTTGCAACAAAACTAACTGCTTATAAAACTTCTGTGTGACACTACACGTAGATGGGCGAACTTTCATGGACATCGGTCACACGGCGTCGGACTTCATTGCTCTGGTATATACCAAAATCCATTTATATATACAGGATTGCCCATTTAACTGGACAAATGACAATAATTCTAAAAATATGCCACGTACAAAAATATGTCAAAGGCAAAAATTAATATCTTTAAGGGGAATATCCGTCAGACCTAAAATCAAACTTCCCCTCCCGTTGAGGGTGAGGCGGTAACCAACTTTGAAGTATTAAAGAGGAACACCCACCTTTTATTACAGATTCGGATTCTACCCTGAAAAATACGTAAGTTTGATCTAGAACATTTTTTGATCGAGAGAGACGATCCGATTATTTGATATCATGAACGTCCATCGGCTTCAAATGGCCCGCAAAGGGCTGGCGCGGCGAAGGGTGCTGGCGGCACGCTCTCGCCCTGGGCAGCAGACGCAAGGGGGCGCTGGCGCTGCGAGGCGCCGTGCTTCGTTGAACGCACGAGTGGAAGGTAGTGCGACAGGGCGCCTTCGGAAAGATGGCTGCCGCGCGTCAGCGGTGCGGCAAAACGAACAAGCGACACACTCGACTCTTTTCCGTACAAAAAGGTTGCTGGCGAACAGCCACGCAGTTCTGCTTTCAGTAGTGGTAGACAAGTCAAATGCTAGTCGGCATTTTGGATTACGTTCAAGAGAAAATTGAATTTTTTTTTAATTTAAAGCGAATGTGGGAGAAATGTTGTATGCTGATCGTTTTCCTGGAATAGTACGATCGTTCATTTGTTAGACTTGTTAAACCGTTTTCTACAGAAAGAAGTGTACAACCGAAGAAAATAACGCGTGCAGCTACTCTATGAGGAGTAATGAGGGTAATCAAATTGCAGTGTTAGCCGCAGTGACTCATAATCCCCAGGCAGTACTGAGAAACGTCACAGCAATCAGGAATTCCTCGTATTAGTGTTTTGAGAATACTGAAGTTCCAGAAGTTTCGTCCGTATCATGTGTCTATGCATCAGGAATTAAATGAATGTTCGATTTAATTTGACATATCGAAATAACTCGCAAACTACAAAAACAAGTTCCAGGCAAAAAATTAATACCTCCAAAGGGAAAATCTGTCTGACCTAAAATCAAATCTCCCTCCCCCCCCCCCAAGGATGGGGAAGGTAACTTTAAAATCTTAAATAGAAACACCCATTTGTTTCATTAAAGAATTCGATTTAACTAGATTAAATCGAATTCTTTAACCAAAGAAACAGTGACTTAAGAATTTGGTATTATGTTCAAGAAATAGAAGATAGACATCAACTTAATTCTTTATTTACAAAATACATTTTACAACTCAAAATACCTAAAGTTTCTGTACACTCCTGGGCAACAAGATTTAATTAAATTAAATTAAGTGCTCAAATTCACCTTCATCTTGAATACACTTGCGAGCGGAGAAATGTATTGTTTCAAATTTCACATTTCACCCGACTGTTGCCCGAAGATTATACTTATTCCAAGATCTTCCCCATCATGTTAAACTGTATATATGTGTGGGTCTGATAGGCCGTCTACACAGATACTCGGTAGCGAAATATTTACGTAAAGTAATTTGTTTATGTAAAGTCATAGGTTTTGGAACTCTTTTTTTTCACTCATAAGTAATAATACTTACTTTAGTTATCAACATTTCATTATGTATTAAGCTGTGAATCATAACAATAACAATTTTCGTAAACACAAATTTTAATAAATTCTCTTATTCTCCTTATCATATACTCGCTACGAATCCCTCCATTTTTCCGTGCATGGCCAAATTTTCTCGTGGTCATTAATACAGAAATTTTACTTCAACACAAAACTAGGTCTTCTTACAAAGGCAAATACAAATAAAAATAAATGTTCCCAGTTTTGCTACTTTCCTTTCGGAGATCGCCGCAAACTTGAACATCTCACACCGTGGCAGAACATCGTCAGCTCTGTTTTTTCATTACTTCTAGGCTGTCCGGGTGACGCCGCGTCGTTGGCAGATAGGCCAAATCGTCGGCCTATCTGCCAACGACGCGGCGTCACCCGGACAGCCTAGAAGTAATGGACTCGAGCCGCGGAAGCCTACGTGTACATGTGTTTTTTCATCTCGCGCGCCCTTCATTTCTTTTCTCCCACGATCTCACTCCTGATTATATATGCATTCCTTATTCCCCTGTGCGTGTCACGTATTTTCCTTCTCATGGTCTTTGCCTACACGATTTCGGGTTCCTTTTTGAAATCTCTAGATTTCTGCCCTTTTCTGCCACATCTTCAGCAGCCGCCTTTTTTATCGGCGCCAGAGCAGCGTGCTGCAATATGTCCACACCCTCAACATTTGCAGCACCAGATAATTTTCTATTTTACAGTAGATCCAACCAATTCCGACTTTCCCTCTTTCTAAAAGAGCATCAGCTGCATATTCCGTCACCAGTACCACTGCAGACTAGGTCTCCGTATCTTTTCTTTGTAGACGGCAGTTGATATACAGGTGTCCAGAAGCTTCTGTTTCAAAAATATCCCACAGTTTATGTTGACTTACACAAAGAATGGCAGACTTGTTTTTACCAAAAAAATGGTTTGCCTTCAAGAACTTTTTTTAAGTTACTTCCGGGCGCAAGCACAGCATTCAAACCGGCTACCGCGTCACAACAGACAGGCGAGTGTCAGCTAACAGGGCTGGGCGTGCCGTCATTTTTACATTCCTGTATACGTTCGTATAAACGGATTAATATTCATGGTATAGGGACAGTTATGTAATGCTGCGGAAAATCAATGTCGATATTTCAACGGAAATACACATTTTGGGGCCCTCAGATACCGAAAGTTATTTCCAAAACGTGTTTCCGTCCCTCTATCTGTGAACACTTGTAGAGCCTAAACCATTCGTAGGATTATTTCCAAATTAAAAAAAAAAACAGTCCATCTGGCTCGAGTCAAAGCTTTGAGATTTTAAAAAACATTCTTTAGAATTTGGAGATACTTTTCGTGAAGCTCGGGATCTTCTTACGACTACAAACTTGAAGATGGAGAAGTTTCCTTCAAATGAAATTTGTTGTCTATAACTAGTTCTCCAAAATTTTTCTTTAACTCTTTGGTAGGAATAGTGCTAAATGTACTCTATAAGACAACATAGATGCTATATTGCTCTATTCTTTTGTTTTTTCAAAAATTACAAAAATGTAATTTTTTTACTTCTCTTACGTCGTTAATATTTATATAACGGCTATTTGTTCACATTATATTTATGACTTCATGTGCTTTAAATAATATTAGATAAAGCTTCACGAAAATTCAACCGTTTTATTTTTCCGTTTTCATTTCCCTTTTCTGCTCAAAATTCTGCATTTTCTGAAACGCTCAAACTCAATTTTTTTCAAAAAAACGGCTTCAAACTTGTCTTCAAACTATTCCGAGTGATTTTGTTCTTGTTTTTTTCTTTCTTTTCTTTTTTTCTTTTTCTTTATACAAATGTAATTTTGTGGGAAGAACTCTCAAACCGGTAATATGCACATTTCCAACTATTTGTGAACATTATTGTACTTGTGAGTTAATATGCTTCAAATGAAGTTTTTCGAAAACTCAAAACAATTCTGTAAAAAGTGCTACAAATTTCGAATTTATTGTACTTTTATCGAATAGTGCATAACTGCATAAATATCGAATAGTGCTTAAGCGCTATTTTCTTTTTTCAAGAAAATTGCCATTTAGGACGAGGTTTTTCGGTTCTTTAATATTCTTAAAATAATATTTACATTCTACTTTTAGAAAACCGAAAAATTAAGAAAATTGCAAAAAAAATGTACTTTGGGTGGCGATAGATGGCAACATGCCACAGTATATGGAAAATTCGAATAGCTAGCCGAGACCATAGAAAATAGAAAACTAACATGGGAACATTTGTGCCACTCTGTAACATCACTAGTTTACAATTATCTTGCCATTACAATTTTTATACGACCAGAACATCAATATACGCCATGTGTGCAAAGCATGCAGTCTAAAACAAGTGGTGCAAAAGAATGGCACAGCTTTTCTCATACCAACATTTTCTAATTTCTTTGGTCTGGAGTAGCTTCATTGTATTGCCCGATCCTCTTGCCAGCTGCCATCTATCGCCGTCGAAACATTTTTTACATTTGCTCAATTTTTCGGTTTCATGGTGAGTTTCATGGTTCGGTTCAATGTTGGAATGACAATATTACTTTAACAAGGTGCATATTGACAGAGGGAGGGTTATTTAAAAAAAATACTTTTGCGTAATTTTTGAAAAAACAAAGTAATTCAAGAAAATTACTTTTGTGACATTTCGTGTAGAGCAATTAGCACGATCTGTACAAAAGTCTAAAGAAAGAATCTGGAGCCATTTTTGAGAAAATGGCATTTGAGCATTTCTGAAACTGTGAAAATTTGAGCTTATTTTCACATAAAACTTTTCAGTTATCGGGATACTTTATAGGACGTTATTTGAAGTTCATGTTAACATAAATGTAATATTATGATTATAATTCACGGCTAGTATACGTATTAACAACGCAAGGCACAAATAAAAAAAATGTATTTTTTTAAAAACCAGAAGAATAGAACAAAATTCCATCTTAAAGATTACAGAACTATGCCATCTTAAAGAGTACAGAACTATCCAAAAGTTTCAATCCAGCCAAGTATCTCATCCAAAAGTTTAAACATTAAAATTTGATGCCGTTCTTTAGAAAATCTTGTTTTTGTTATTTTTTAACATTACACATATTGCATGTAACAATGCACGAAAACTACTTTAATTTTCAAAAACAATTCCATGTCATTTATCAAAGAACTAACTACGGATAAAAAACATTCCTTCATGGAAAAATCTCTGTCTTTGGTTTTGTAATAGTAGGATTAAGCTGAAAAAATTTCAAGTTTTTAAAATTTTACGAAATTTAAACTTTTGAGATTTTTGAAAAGTTAGAGTTAAAGGCCAGAAACGAACCTATGTCATCTTTATAAGTGTATTTCACTCTATTCTTTAAAAAAATAAAGAAAAAATCAGAGGCATTTTTGAGAAAAGTTTGAAAATATTCTAGAGTAGAACGACATTTTCAGTTGAATTTCCGTTTTTTGCCGCAGCATTACGTAACACTTTCTTATTACTTCGTATATGCATACATGTACGAGAAGTAAAACACGTTGCAAATACGAGAAAGTAAAAAAAGTGAGAAAGCAAAAACAGTACGTGCTGAATTGTCTTACGTCCTCCACTGCTCAAAACGACAGCTTCCCTACGCAAGTCAGGCTACGTCACAGAGCACTAGATAACTCTCCTCTCTTTCTTCTCCTTCCCTCTCCTCTTCTCTCTCCTTCCCTCTCATCTCTCCTCTGCGTCCTCTCCCTTTTCTCTCTCTTCTCTGTATAACGTATGCAAGAAAATATCAGTATACATTTTTTTATCTTCAATAAAAACATTTACTGAAACTTGATCAGAAAAAGAACGTTAATTTCTGTTTCTTTTCTAACTAGAACTGATTTGAATAATACATTTGAATAATATGAGCCACATCCCATTTTTCATGAAAACGACTATGAATATCTTTCACATCCTGTTGGAATCTGTCTCCGTGTTATTGTGTGAAGGCTATCATGTTTTCTGGGAAACAATTACTACGTGAATGCAAGATATGGACTTTTGCGCACAATTTACAACCTTGAGATTTAAATATTAAGCGGATACAAAATGGAAGGTGTTTCTTCAGTGTGAATATTTACTGCTAA